GGCGATGCGCGCGGCGGGCGGGGCGGGGAGGGGCGGGGCGGAGCGACGCTTGGCTGGGAGACGCCAGCCCCAGCCGGGGGCCCCTGGAAGGAAAGAAAGTGCGCACGCGTGAGTCGGGAGGCGCTCGCCTTTCGGCTGCAGATCGCCAACCGCGAATGGATTGGGAGCGGTGTGGAGCGTCGGGTGGAGGCAGCCAGCACACGGGGCGGTCCTCCCACAGTCTTCCAGCTTGCGGGCCGGGAGATCGAAGTTGACCCCCATCTTTCGGGGTTTCCCCTTTTCGTGAGCCACCGGAGGCCAGCACTGTGATTCTTTGGCGAAAACATTTGGAATTCCATGGTCTGTGCCAGGCATATGCTCTAGTTTGTTCTCAACCCAGTAGCAAAATAGTTATGTAAACAGATTTCGACATAGTGCTCTGGCTGCAACTAAAAGAAGCATTATGAGGTTAGATGTAAAAAGGTAGCATTAACGACGGCGGAGGTTGCAGTTTCCTGTCTGCGGTAGGCTGCCTGCGGTAGGCGCTGGTGAAATTGGAGTTTGAGAAACCGAGTGACTCCTCGGGTGCTTTTAGAAGGCTTGTGGTCCTCACCTGAAAGAATGCAATCGAATAGGTAAATTAGTGATAAAAAGCCTAAAAAGGCGCATTTTTCCCCCCATTTGGCACTGGACTTCCATTGTAAGGACATTAAGGGACAAGCTAGTTTAGAAGGAACGAGCTAGTTTAGATATTTTGTTAAGTTTATTTTCCGATATATTCAGGTTTTTGTTTTTTTTTTTTTTTTTTGGTTTTTCGAGACAGGGTCGCTCTGTCGCTTTTGGAGACTGTCTTGGAACTACCTCTTGTACACCAGGCTGGCCTCGAACTCACAGAGATCCGCCTGCCCCTGCCTCCCAAGAGCTGGGATTAAAGGCGTGTGCCACCACTGTTTGGCTATATTCATAGTTTTAAAAATCTTTAAAAGATATACAGTAACCAGCCATTCTCATTATGTTTCCATTTCTTGCGTATTTTTTATCTAAAAATAAACATTTCATAAGGTGGTCTTTCAAGAAGTGTCGTACAGTATTATTAAATCGTGAGGTGACAGTCTATAAAGACAGCATCTATTTGTAAAGGTGGATTGAAAGTTAAGCAAGAGAGACGGCAGCAAAAAAAGAGGACACAATCACTCACAAATTTTATCTCAACACTTGGCAAAGTACCTAATACATAAGTATAATTAATTGCTGTGCTAAGGATAAAACCAAGAGCCTCTGCAAGCCTTGCACTACCACTGAGCTATGCAACCCCTAACTTCAGTGAATAAGTTCAGTGAGAAGAATTCAAGCCTAAATTAAGTTAGTTAAATTAAGACCCTCAAGAAGGAAGACTTGTGCCTCCAGATCTCCCTTGGGTCTTTATCCTACTTGCCTACCCTGAAGATTTTGGAGTTGTGTGATCTAAATTTCTTGAATTCTCTTTTTAAACATGTATCTCATTGATCTGTCTTCAGAGAGCCCTAATATGGTGACTGAATTTATTGAAGCTCCGAGTAAGAAAGGTTATGCTTTAGGAGACTGAGTGATTGTGACACTCACTAAGATGTGCATATCAAAACCTGAGAGCTAACCGTGATTTCTTGACCGCTCTGTCCCCCTGAGATTCCATCTGCTACTCAGTTTTGTAGCTCTGTTCTCATTACTGAAATTGAAAAATTACCATTACCTGAATCAGAGAGTTTTGTAACTTCAAATTGGTGTTCCATCTTCATCTCTTTCTACGCAGTCCATCCCCCACACAACAGTTTGCTTGCTTAAAAAAGTGATTTATGCCAGGCTGTGATATAATGTCCCACTGACCTGGCACCAGAGGGATAGCAAGCAACCTCTGCTAACCTTGAAACCCTGCTGGGTTATACCTGGCCTGGCTCCGGAGTTTTCCCATAGCCCCTTGGCCTTCCTTTGTTACAAATACCTTTTGCTGGGCAGCAGTGTGGTGCTCAAGCCTTTAATCCCAGCACTCCGGAGGCAGAGGCAGAGGGATCTCTGTGAGTTTGAGACCAGCCTGGTCTACAAGAGCTGGTTCCAGGACAGGCTCCAAAGCTACAGAGAAACCCTGTCTCAAAAAACAAACAAACTAATATCTTTTGCTGCCCTATGTTAATCTTACCTGAGAGTTTTCCAATGGATACAAAGCCTATGCAAAACTTGGTTTCAAGGAAAACCAGAAAACCCTGGTACTTCATGAATCAGGTATGTGTACCTGGCATTGTATTGTCCGAAGCTCCTATCAGTTTGTTTTGAGATATGGAAATCTGCTAGCTAACGTGTAAATATAGGAAAAATAAAGATGCTGGGAGGCAAAGGGAAGGCTTCAGTTCACCAAGGCACAGAGGCTGAATTCATTCTCAACGTGACTCTGAGTCTTCATTTCTTGGACACTTGTGAACCCACATACCCATGCCAAAAATAATCATGACATTTTGGCACCCAATGTGTGGCTTGAAGATCAGAGAATTCAGCCATTCTGAGAACTAGGAAAAACTCTCAACAGTAAGAGAACCCCAGGATTGGCAAGATCATAGGGAATTTAAACTCCTTATCTCAGGAGCAACAAAATGTAGAGTTGCTAAAATGCTTGTCAAAAGAAAAAGTGGTAACTGCACAATTTTTAAAGATAGAGATAAAATGGCTCCCGACACGGAGAATAAATCAAGGAAAAAGACCCTTTTCTGTAGAAAAGAGGAAAGGAAAGGGAAAATATTGTATCAAGTCCTAAAAATTAAAAGACCTTATAAAAGAAAAATGACGAAAAGAAAAAAAGCCTTTTCCCAGTAGATATAGAGGGGGGAAAAGACTCTTTCTGATATAAGGAATTGAGAATAATTAAAAATCAGAGTTCTGGGAACTGGAGAGATGGCTCAGAGGTTAGGAGAACTGACTGCTATTCCAGAAGTCCTGAGTTCAATTCCCAGCAACCACATGATGGCTCACACCCATCTATAATGAGATCTGGTGCCCAGAACACTATATATATAAAATAAATAAATTTTAAAAAATCAGAGTTCTGTCTCTCTGGCTGAACTCTGCCTGTCAGGACAGTGCTGCAGCATCTAAATTACAAAGAAACAACAGGTGGACCTCACTGCTTCAGCCTGAGCTAGCTCAGCAAGTCAGAGCTTAGAATTTTGTTGTGTTTGCTTAACTTTGCTTAAAATTTTGCTGTTACTGTTTTTTATCCACACTGTTAATAATTGGCAAGTTGCATTAACATGTTACTTGGGATCTATAAAAAAGGATCCTCTTCGGGCAGCGGTGGCGCACACCTTTAATCCTAGCACTCAGGAGGCAAAGGCAGGCAGATCTCTGTGAGTTCAAGACCAGTCTGGTCTACAAGAGCTAGTTCCAGGACAGGTTCCAAAACTACAGAGAAACCCTGTCTCAAAAAACAAAAACAAAAATCCTCTTTTTAAGATTTTATAAAAATGCTCCACAAATATTGTCTGAAGTTATGTCTTAAAATCCTATGAAGTGTTGTGCCCAGTCCATAGTTACCCCAAAAGACAGCCAGGGAGGCTGACTCACTGAAATGCAAAAGCAAGGTTTATCATGTGCACAATACAAGCTGGCAGGGACCTTGTCAAAGCAACTGACGCAGCAGCAGCAAGAGGAGGTCCCCCGCCCTTCTAGAGGGCATTATTTGAAGGCAAAAGCCAGAAAAGTTATATTAGCAGGGTGTGGGGTGACGGGTTCAATCCTGATTGGTTTGTGTCTAAGGACTTTTCTCAAATTTTATTTACAAACCTCGCCTGTTGCTTGTCAAGCTTTCATATCAGCTGACCTTCAGGTAGGGCCATTCTGCTGTTATCTGCACTTTCCAGGTGGCTACCCTGTCACTTTTGACCCTAGCCATTTCTGAGGACTAGAAGGTTTTACCAGAAATAGCTTAAGCAAGACACAGATGGAGGTGGAGGACAAAATGGAGGAACTTTGGTTCTTCATAGAGATTGTTTTAATGCTTTTAAAGATGGTTTATGTATAAAAGATTATGCAGATAAAAACTGGTTATAGAATTGCTCAGTTATTGTTGCCCCCATATCTTAAAGGTAAAACAGCTCCAATTATGAAGTAAAAGGTTCTAAATCACAGGGAAAAAAAGGGAAAAGGGTGTTTTGGTAAACTGTTATTAATGATGAGAGGCCAAAGTTAAAATTGCAAATAAGATGGAGGCCTATTGAATGCAAAGTTGACATACCTGTAATTTTTCAAAATTCTAAAATCTGAATTGACCTATTCAAGACGTCTCCACTCAACTTTTGGACAATAAAATCTTATCTCAGGTGGAACAAAATGTAAAATGGATTAAAAGTATAGAACCTGAAAGAAAGAAAAGGATATTAAAGTCTATGTGGATCAAACAGTGGCCCTTAACTAAAGAAAAAAACACTTGAGGAAGTTATAATAGAACAGTTAGATGCTAAGTACATTGAGGAAAATACCAGTCCTTAAAGTTCTTCTGTGTTTGTAATAAAACAGAATCTCACAAATGGAAAACATCAAAAATGTTAACTGGTCTAAGAGCTATTAGTAAGCTCTTAGTAATTCAATCTATGGGATCTTTATAGCTTAAAATTTCTTTGCACAAACAAAATTAAAAAATTGCCTTATGCTGCCTACTTACAATAATGCCTAGTCCATAAAGAGATATGAATAAAAGTACTTTCTTAGATTGTTAAATAGTGCAGCTTTGTGTCAATATTTTATAAATTAACCACTGGTCCCAGCACTCAGGAGGCAGAGACAGGCAGATCTTTGTGAGTTGGAAGCTAGCCTGGTCTACAAGAGCTAGTTCCAGAACAGGCTCCAAAGCTACAGAGCAACCCTGTCTTGAAAAACAAAACAAAAAAATTAACCACTGGAAGTGGTATGTAAACAATTTCTTCAGTCTATTATTTATCATTGTAAGGATGATATTTTCTTGACTGCTTTTGATACAGAAACCTTGGAAAGAATGTTTGATGCAGTACAGAAAAATTTACCCATTTGGGAATTACAAATTTCCCCCGAAAAAATACAAAGAGGAGATTCTTAACTATTTATGATTTAAAGTAAGTAAACAGAAATTCAGCTACAAAAGTACAGATTAGAAAAAACTCTAACCCAGAGATGCTTGTTAAACAGAGGGGAATATAAGGACCCTCAGAGATAGAATACATAATGCTTTACTAACTTCTAATTTTAAAAAAATGCTGATGAAACAGGATAGCAGCTGCTAAAAG